CGTAATACACCTAATAAATAATGTACAGCCCCTAGCACAGTGGGGTCATGGTCCATGGCTGGAGCTCCTAGGCACTACCGTAATACACCTAATAAATAATGTCCAGAGCCTAGCACAGTGGGGTCTTGGTCCATGACTGGGGCTACTAGAAGCTGCCACTATATAAATGAACATTACCAGTACCTGAATGGCAAAGCTCTTCTTCCTTGTCTTTTAAAAATAGTAACTCAATAATACGTTGAAGCCGTCCAGAGGCTTCTGGTGACTTTCCTAACAGAGAAGAAAGATAGTGTTGTGGTGTAAGCACAGGACTGGAAGTCAGGTCTCTGGGTCCAATTCTCAGCTCTGCCACTGACTCGCTGTGTGACCCCCACCTGGTGCCTCAGTTTACCCATTTGTAAAATGGAAAGGAGGATCCTGATGTCTTGCCTGGCTCCATTCAGATGGACCGAATTCCTCTATAGCGGGGTAGTTGGAAAGCAAGGTGGCACCTGCTCTCTCTTCCCCCAGGGAGACCCCTGGATCCCTGGTGGTCTCTGATGTGATGGTTTCAGGCTGAGCTCCAGATTATTAGCAATTTGTGCATTTAAATTTCTTGAAGTCTGGAAGAACTTTGGGGCTGGGCAGGCTGAGGTGTTGGGAGCTGGCTGGAAAGGAATAGGGTGTGTGAGCATGTGAGGGCACAGGGCGGGGTTATTCCTGAATTGCCAACCAAGGGCAGCACAGAGGTAGGAAGGGGATGCAGGGGACTCTGCTCCTTGCGCTTAAACACACCGGTCCAGCTGGGACGCAGCCGTCTGTAGCCATGTCCACTCTGCGAACAGACAAGCCCTGAGGTTTTGGGCCCTGTGGACATTGGTAGGGCCCCCACCTTCCTCAAACTAGGGCTCTGCTCCAGGGGCTGCCAGCCCTGCATGGCACGAACGGTGTGCTGAGCTCCTGCACAGGGAGTGCCCCCCCATACATACCAATCCCACCCCAGAATACCCCTCTCTCCCCATCCCCACATGGGCCCCCAAATGGCCCTCCAACCTCACATATACCCCAACAACCCTCCACCAGCCCCCACCTATCCTGACAGCCCCCACACACATCCCAGCGGCACTGACATACATTCCACTCACCACAGCCCCCAACATCTCATCCCCCGATCCCAACATCCCCCCTAGCTCCCAATCCCTCACCCCGCAGCCCCCCAACACTCCTCACTCATCCCATAACCCCCCTACAACTCACCCCCACCCATCACTTCTGGGACATTCCTGGCCACTCATCAGCACGCCCGTCCCGCTTCCCGGCTCAGCACTCCTCTCCTGTCCCAGCCTAGGGCAGCTCCCCCGGACCCTGACTGCCCAGCGCAACGCGGTCCCATCGCCTGCCCCTGCAATTGCCTGGCTCCACGCCACTCAGGCCAGGCTGCCCTCTCTCGTGACGGGGGCAGGGGAGGCAGCCGGCCCGAATTTGAGTGAGTGGCTGTTGCGACCTGGCGCATGGGGTTGCAGTGCTGCGCAGTTGTTTTTTTCCCCTAGTGGTCGGGGCCCCCCCCAAGATGGGGGCCCTGTGAAAGTGCACTAAGGGCACATGGGTTACTCTGGGCCTACAAAGAGGCGTGCTGTTGCATTACTTTATCAAGCTCCATGTTAAATCCTAGAGGAGACGAGGCACAGGTAGTCCTAACCCTGATGCTGCCAGTCGAGGCCAGTCCATTACCCACCACCTGGCAGGCACCGTGCATGCAACTTGCAAAATGTATTATTCTTTTGGGGAAGGGGGAGTGAAAGGCCATTGGTTCTGTTAGGTCCTGGCTCTGGCTCTTGAAGGAGGGTGATTTTGGGGAGCTGGTGCATGGGATGTTCCCAGTCCTGCTGCCCCTACCTCCCTTTCCCTCAACACGTCTGGAACAGCGATAAGCTGGAAGAGCCTGATGGGAGGAGAGGGGCTGCTCATCCCGAACGGGGCTTTGAATGATTAACCAAAGCTGCAGCCTTATGACTCCTCACGCTGGCCAAGTGGCAAAGCTCCATGGAGCGGGTCAGGGGAGA